ACCACCAGGCATCGATTTGGTCGAATAACGAATAGAGAAGGTTTTAAGTTTTTGAAACTCGTAAAATTCGATTTTAAACCAATCAAAAGCTCGCTGTTATTTTAAAAAATACTTCAGACTATTTTTCTTTATCTTTAAGAATATTTTTAGGGTGAAGTTCAAAAGGCTGGCTATTATATTCTAATGTTATTTTAATCGATAAATTAATCATCAAATAATTGTTTGTTTTTTGTTTGTTTTTGAATTTCGCGCAAAGCTACACGAGGGGTATCTGCGCCAGCCGTCCCTAATTTAGCAGTGTAAGACTAGAGGGAAGGCAGCTAGTCATCACCACCCACCGCCAACTCTTGGGCTACTCTTTTACCAACGAATAGTGGGATTGACCGTCACATTATAACGCCCCCACGGCTGAAAAGGCGAGCATGTTTGGTGGGACGAAGATTCGAACCCGCGACCCTCAGATTGCGAGTCGAGTGCCTTAACCACCTGGCCATGCCGGGCCCCTCATCAAATAAATGTGTGTTATTTTCATAATTAAACGCCAAACTAGAGAAGAAATAAGTGAATAATAATTTATGAATCTATAAACATTTCTCGCCTCTTTTTTTTTGATAATGCTATAAGTAGTGTCTACAAGAAACGTTTACCTTTTAACAGTTTTCACTATTTATAAATGAGGGTTAATATAAGCTCTAACTCAATTAAGAATATTATCAAACTATTTTGTTACATCGAAAAACTCTGACACATTTATTATTAAAGATAGCCCATTGTGTTCTAGCTTTGCGCTAAAAACAAAACAAATATTTCTGTGGTCCCTCAGTGAGTCAGCAGTGAGTTTACGGACTTACAACCATAAAGTCCGGAGTTTGATTCCAAGTGGTAGACAAAGTGTAGATAGTCTATTGTGTAGCATTGCGCTAAAAGACAAACTAACAAATACTTGTATACATGAATGAATACTCGTGGTGCCGTTAGCTAACATTCAATTCCGTTGGTTGAGAAAGATGCAGCGCTTTGTGAGAGAAAAAGGCTATAGGTGATTAAAAGCAAAAATCATACAGAAGATATAAATTTATAGAACTGTGAAATAAAGAACAAGGAAACATTGAAGTGATGATTGAAAAGTGTTTAAGAATTCTATAGGTTTGAAAAAGCAGTTTACTGTAATTGATACAGAACGACACATAGGCCAAGCAGTTTACTGTAATATATACAGAACGACACAAAGAACAAACATTTTACTGTACGTGATACGGAACGACATATAGACCAAGCAGTATGCTATAAGTAGTACATAACGACACTTAGGCCAAGCAGTTTACTGTAAAATGTACAGATCGACCTATAGGACAACCAGTTTATTGTAAGTGATACAGAACGACACTTGGTCCAACCATTTTACTGTAAGTGATACAGAACGACATATAAGTCAATCAGTTTACAGTAAGAGATACAGATCGACCCATAGACCAAGAATTACAGTTGTATGGGTAATGCCACCAACTTATCAGGTAATAGATTTACCTTGAAATACAATAATATTTTATTTACAATTGATATCGTTTGACGAGAGCTGTAACTTATCTATTTTAGTGCTACAATAAAGGATCTAAAAAATGCGACAGGTAAGTATCATTTATGAAACTCTTTAATAAAACTATAACTTTGAAATTCAAATATAAATGCTCAGCTTCTTAATAGTTGTTGCCCCCCCCCCGTGGCACAACGGTATGTCTGCGGACTTACAACTCTAGAAACAGGGTTTCGATACCCGTGGTGGGCAGAGCACAGATAGCCCATTGTGTAGCTTTGTGCTTAATTCCAAACAAACAAAACAAATAATAAATTTCAATAAAGATTAGCCCCCCAGTGGCACAGCGGTCTGTCTGCGGACTTACAACTCTAGAAACAGGGTTTCGATACCCGTGGTGGGCAGAACACAGATAGCCCATTGTGTAGCTTTGTGCTTAATTACCAACAAACGATCTTAGTAGTTGATACTCTAATTAGAATTAATAGTCTGAAGAAAGGAATACGTTTATATATTTCTTTCAGGAATTATTTGGTTAAATCTGACCTAATATTCCTTATTTTACGTTCCATTTAGTCATTTTCATGTTGACATTACATGCTGAATAGTTCACACAAATCACCATTGAAAACTATCAGAATATTGATTATTAACAAACCTGCCAGCACTAAATCAGAATATTTGTGCTGTTTTCTTTTCGGTTATACATTTGATATTTTCGTAGATCAATAACAGAAGTCCACGTTCATTTCCTGTGTAGGAAAGTGTGTGTATTTAGGTAGAGAACTGTTCCGTTTGGGCAATTCCTCAATATTTATGGTAGAAAGCATTGCAGTAATGCGACAAGAACGTTATTAGTCATTCTAAGTTCATATAGCTATAAGTCTCAAAAATAAGCTTTATTATTCTTTATGCTGAGTGTTGATCCTAATAACATAATAGGATTTATAAAATAAAAGAAAAAGAAAGTGTCAAAATACAAGTGAAAAAAAATCTTCCCAGAGGCCACATAAATACTGTTATATAAAACTGTAGTACATATCTGCGCTCTAATGGAAATATAGCGTAAACATTGTCATTATAAGGAGAAAAAAAGATAAGAAAGATAGAAGTATGGATATATCATTATAATACAAACTGGGTAAAGTAAGAGGGGTTTCTGAGATATAGAAGTATGGATATATCATTATAATACAAACTGGGTAAAGTAAGAGGGGTTTCTGATATATAGAAGTATGGATATATCATTATAATACAATGGGTAAAGTAAGAGGGGTTTCTGAGATATAGAAGTATGGATATATCATTATAATACAATCTGGGTAAAGTAAGAGGGGTTTCTGAGATATAGAAGTATGGATATATCATTATAATACAATGTGGGTAAAGTAAGAGGGGTTTCTGAAATATAGAAGTAGGGATATATCATTATAATACAATCTGGGTAAAGTAAGAGGGGTTTCTGAGATATAAAGGCATGGATATATCATTATAATACAATTTGGGTAAAGTAAGAGGGGTTTCTGATATATGTATAATTATGGACATATCATTATAATACAATGTAGGTAAAGTAAGAGGGGTTTCTGATATACAGAAATATGGATATATCATTATAATACAATCTTGGTAAAGTAAGAGGGGTTTCTAAGATATAGAAGTAGGGATATATCGTTTAGCAGATTTGCATCTTTACTCGCAAGCCTTGTATGTCAAGTAAAATTTATAAACGTTTAGATCAGATAAAATACTTAAGCCCAAAACGACATACATCTAAAACTTACATCCATCGTCTGCAACTAGTTACTGGAACGTACATGCTCGTAATAAAACAGAATATAAATTAAAAAACAAAGAAAAAGAAGTCTCCACAATCCGACCACTGGTTGGGAAACGTAAGATAGCTAAATGATAGAAATGTACATTTAATAAACACTGTCTTGATAACAAACTTAACACATCCTCAAATGATAAGCATTGCACAATGTCACGGTCATATTGTTCACATTCATATTATCTGAAAGACATGCAGGAGTTTACTGAAAAGTCAAGTTAATTGGATATTAGCTTTGTAATATAATTAGATTGTAGAAACTTCTTCATAATGAATTTATATTACATAAATTTTCCATTAATACGTCAGTTACCACCATCTTAAATGTTTACAAAAAACAGTTTTAAAACCGAAAGGGCGTTCGTTATTTTTACAAGGTCATCTGATGTTATAAAATAAAGTTAGATTATTCTTCTCAAAGCAACATCATTTAATTCAAAAAACCGCTAATATATAACTTTAACTTCATATAAATTCCAAATCAAAACAATTGAGTCTGAAAAGTTTGTTTTGTTTTGAATTTCGCGCAAAGCTACACAAAGCCACAAATCATGAACATATACATATACAGCTAACGATCATGGACTTAAAAACAAACGAAAAGTATTATTACAGTTGTTCCGATCTGACTAGAAGTCTTAATGAGAACTGTGCCGAAATGTTATTACTTGAGTTAATCCTATCAAGGCAGTCTCTTCGTTGAGAGTAAACTGACTCTCTTGGTATCTAACAAATTCTCGAAAGAACACTTGATAAAACGTAGCGTAATTACAATCATGATAATACAATGTTGCAAAGAAACACGGACCATAACGTTTCCTGGAACTTAAGAACAATATGACTGGAATTCAAAAACCGAAATGTAGCAGAAAGAGAAATGAGGCATGAATGAAAAAGTGTTGAAGAACCTCGCGATCAATACTAGAATAATAGAATTCTGAATACATTATCGTAAGCAGTGGATGTTAGGTTTGTATGCAGTCATGCACAAAAATAAGGGAGATATTTTTATGAGTGAACTTATCTGAACCCAAAGCTTTTTTTTCGAAAAGTACAAAAATAGAGAAAGAAAAAGAACTTAAGGGAGAGAAATACAATACATAACACTCTCTCTCTTTGCTGAGAGATGAAAATTAATTACCTGGAACGTCAAACTAAGTTTAAGAAGCTGTCTTCTTCTTTGAAAGAAAACTACAGCGTAGACTTCTAAAATGTTTAAAGCTTTTCTATGTTTTTTTATTTTATATTCCATTTAAAATGTTTTAACTCATGTCTCAAATCTAATTTTTTACTTCCCTATCACCATGGTCGCAATAGATATACATTCCATAAATGAATGTCGTTTCGTTTTTTGCGTGTCTTTTTTTATATCTATAAAGTTCAAACAGTGCATGTAGGCTCGGGTGAAATAGGAAGTATCCTCATTACACCTATGGCTGAGGATATATAAATATAAATCAATTTACTTTAACATACACCCATGGCTGAGGATAAATAAATATAAACATAACATCTATGGCTGAGGATAAATAAATATAAACATAACACCTATGGCTGAGGATAAATACATGTAAACATAACACCTATGGCTGAGGATAAATAAATATAAATAAATTTACTTTAACTACTAACCGGGTACGTTTCGAGCCTTAAGAGCCGCATCGAGGAAAAAAAGAGCTTTCTGTATGGTCGGAGCTCGTAGTTCACATATATTGGCTAGCTGAGCACCCAATAGAATTTCGTCTTGTAAAAACATACCAGGAGAAGTTCCACCGCCTTCAGAACCTGAAAAACATTTATATATTGGTTACCAATAAGCATACTATAATAAAATTTTCGATTAGCTCTCTCACGCCACATACCAGCATAAATAAAATTAGATTTACAACTAAACGTACCTCGGATTCTAAGTTTGTGTCAAATTTAGTAGTACATAAACATTTACAGTTATCTATGAGGAACGTAGAGTGAATTTAAATTTTAGTGTTTTATTTAACTTTCATTAAAAAGAAAGAAGTCTCTTTGAAAAAAAAGTAGTGTACATAATTCCCATTTTTGAAAATAGGCTGAAGATTTATAATAAACAAGAGAGAGAGAAAAACTTGACTAAATGTTATTTTTGATTTCTAGTATGTTGAAGTTTAAGAAATCATGTTGTTAATCATTTTCAGTTCACTTTAAACATTATTCGAGGATTCTTATTTTGAATTATTCCCTAAAAATTGCTTCTAAAAAGTACCAAAAAATCATAAACCATTATAAGGTTAACGGTTTGTAAAGTTTCTTTTCATAACAAAGGAAATGCTTGTAAAATATTTTGTTAAATCTGGCATAATTTGTATTGAAATCTTTACTGGTGGATAAGTTCAATAATAATTTATTGAACGATATAATTTATTATTTCTGTTCTTTTCCTTTTGATGAGTAAGTATTTACACATTTATAAACTATGGCCTATAAAAGAAAATAGTATTGTAAAGCTCAATTACTGAAACCAAAACTTAAAAGTATATGTCATCATCTGAGACTTTTCTTTTCACGATTAAATGATTCAATCTTTCATTGCACTGTTTTTGTTTTGTGAGAATTTCGAGAAGCATTTTTTAACTCTGAACTTATACAGACCTGAAGCGAATGTTGCCAACAAATCTTTCATTGTCTGTTCTTTTCCTGCTACTTCTACAGCCGACACACGCACAGAAAACCGAGACCCTGATTTATCCTTCTGGTCACTGATAAGCTGGAATAGCCAGCTGATTGCACAGGGAATAACTCCTATTTCTTGAGAACCTTCGGTCTGGCCAAGCATTGTCGTCGTTTTACCTTCAAATATTCCCCCAAATATCTTATTCAATGACATCAGTAGCTTCCAGAGCACCATCTATTAACTTAATCGTATTAAATTCAAGAGCCAACATTTTGTATTAAAATCTTTGTCATCTTTTCATGATAAAATATCGTAAAAAAATCCAATAGCTATAACAAGGACATGAGATAATGTTAAACAGTGCTAGTACCAAATGTTTCACGAAACAGAACTCGTTAATTGGAGAAAATATGCTAATACTGCAAAACTAATAAACATTTTGTTCAAGAACTAAGGCACACACACACATATATATACATACAGGTGCTACACAAATCTCGTGAAAAAGAAAAACGGTTTTTGTTCTGGTTAATAAATAATGAGTTATTCGAGAAAACAGATAATCTATAAAAAAAAATGTTAACAAAGACTTCCTTTTTTTTTTCTTTGCTGTTGTTAGTTGAAAAATTCTCGAAACATTCTTTAACAGTTTTGATATGGAAATTAGTCACTTCTGATGACCATACATCATAGAAACTAAAATGTTATAACTGTGAAACTAGCGATCCCTCAAAATGAATAAAAAACATATGTAAACCAAAACAAAACTGATTATTAAAAAAAATACATTAACATTTCTAATAATGTCAAGAAATGGAAATATATTTATGTTTTTAAAGTCTGCTTGTTATTGGTAATCATATAATTATTTTCTTGTTGTTAAGGTCAAAGATACCCAATGGATTATCTGCGCTGTACTCACCACTGGTATCAAAACCCGTTTTTTTTTAAATAAGCCTTCAGACTTACCGCTGAGCCACTCAGGACTGGTTGTTGTTGTTTCTTATTAAGCACAAAGCTACACAGAGGGCTATCTGTGCTCTGCCCGCCACGGGTATCGAACCCGGTTTCTAGCAGTAAAAGTCCACAGACATACCGCTGTGCCACTGAGGGGCAACAGTGCTAGTAATCACATGAAAACAAATATTTTGGGTCGAGTTTGCCGATAGCAGGTGAGTCTAATAACACATAGTATTAACAGTACGAAACCTATATATATTAAGGTACTAGCCTTAAAATATATTAGATTAAAATATAAAAATAGACTAGAAGAGTACGATACCGCTTACATATAATAATAAGGCATCATATTTTGGATATTAAGATACATATATATATATATTTGAAATAATATTTCTTGAACGAAATGAATAACCAACAGAAAAAGAAACAGAAAACGACTAGCTATGAAACAAGGTTGACAACCATAAAAAAAGTTAATAATGAGTACACTGCAGTACCAAATCGCAAGAAGCTTACACGTTTGTTAACTGGTTTAGAGCTGTTTCTACTAGTTTGTTATTAGAAATAACATAAGGAACTGAGAATTAGTTTCAATATCAGAAAAAATGATCTCCAGTCGTATGAAACTAAAGTAAAATATAAATAGAGTTAGGAATCCAGGTTTCATTGTCAGTGATTTTATTTCAACTACACACCTATCTAGCTGTTTTTTTTTATCTATTCAGCAACATTCGTTTCTTTTTAGCTATTCAGTTTTATATATATATATATATATATGTGTGTGTGTATGTGTCAGTTATTAATCGATGACGTACTTTAGTAAGTATCTTCGTATGCTAATTATTGACCAATACTGTTATATGTATGTGCGTGTTGAATATTTATCATCATTATATTAGAAAACGTTTCTCCTATTTTGTTATAACAAGAGTTTCAAACACAGCATACAATTTCTGATCTTAAAGTAACTTAGGAGGAGTTTCATTACAATAATCTTAATGAAAATGACTATCGCCTAATATTTTGGGCCCAAATGTCTCTCTCTTACATATGTTACAGTACATATATTTTTAAGTTACTGTTTTCTCATCTGCTTGAAAAGATCATTGTTTTTTTTTAAGCATTGGTCACATACACAGCATAGTTGGATCCTAGAAGGGTAGAAGGTTTGCAAAAGGCTAACCGAAAAAAGAATTCCAAATATGATAAAATATAAAATTACAATTACTCCTTTATTGTGAAATGAAATATTTAATGCAGTTTAGAAGTTAACAGTACTGTCAAATAAAGATAAAACACTCTGATGAATAAAGATATTACTACTGAATTTTGCGATTTATAGCTCTCTCAAAAAGTAAAAAGAGAGCGCACTGGAAACAAAGCAACATGTTAAATGAGATACAAATTATACATATTCATTTATGTATATTCGTACAATTACAGGATCTGAAGAAGACAGGATGAATTCCCACTTCTGCTACACACTTCATGTTTACCAATACCGTTCTGAAAAAGGAAGCAAAGTTGGAGGTAAAGCTCTTTTGTATTGTAATAACGGATTAAATTATGGAGCAATTTGAAAAAGGAAGCAAAGTTGGAGGTAAAGCTCTTTTGTATTGTAATAACGGATTAAATTATGGAGCAATTTGAAAAAGGAAGCAAAGTTGGAGGTAAAGCTCTTTTGTATTGTAATAACGGATTAAATTATGGAGCAATTTGAA